GCAAGAGCAGCAAGTAGTCATAACCTCTCCAGGCCTCAAAAGTCCTATTTTAAAGAAAGCGTTTGCAGGACCAAAGCCAAACTGAGAGTATTTAAATAACCTGAGATTCATTGCTTGAGGTAAGTAATAATACAAAATTAAAGTCTTAGAATATAAAAGACATATTCTGGCTGGTAAATATTCACTTTGTAAGTAAATTAGAATGTGCATTTATTAATGTTATTTTTTTTGAGACAGTGTCTTACTATGTAGTCCTGGCTGACCTGGAACTCTCTATCTTGACCATGCTGGCCTTGAACTCACATAGATGTGACTGTGCCTACCTCTGCCTCCCAAGTAGTGGTGTTAGAGGTGTGTGCCACCACACCAAGCCTGAAAATATATTTTAGATGCAGGGTTTCCCTCTTCAACCTTGGCTAGCCTGGTACTGTTGGGATTTTCTTGCTTCAAACACCCTAGTGCAAGGATTATAGAGTGCAAGGGTTACAGGCAGGCAGCAACAAGCCAAGCTTTATTCTCTTTAGAAAAAAATATCATGCAGGATGGCGGCATTTAAATTAAAACAGAAACTTTTGTGTGTGTGTGTGTGTGGAAGGGAAGGGCATGCTAAGGTTTCCACTAACCCAGAGGGAAATCCTGAGACAATTGTTGAGATAATTAAAATAATTACATGTGATTAGAGCTTAACAGTAAGCAGGTGCAAAAGGAACTGAAAGAACTTTCAATCCTAATACTCAATTTATTGCTAGTAAAGAGAGTTTCAAAGCACAATTAATTGATTGCACAAAACCTGTGATTACTCGTAATTACAGAGATTTTCTCCACACACTATGATTTTGCTGCATTTCTAAGCAGATAATCAAGGCGATTATTGTTAATAGATGAGGAAAATGATTTCCATATTTTGTCACAATTGAAATGAGACAAAGTAGACCTCTCTACTCTCCCCTGCCACAGAAAGTAGGAAACAATTTTCCTTGCCAGGAAAATAAATTTGAGAGTCTTTTAAAAAATAAATAAGAGATCCTCAAATGAAAAACTAAATGCCACAACACCTTTGACAGATGCCCGAGGGCTCTGTAACTAACACCATCTAAAAACTACAAAGAGATTTGATGGAAAATCAAAAGGTTTAGCTGTTAACTTTTCAATGAGTTTCTGAAAGGTAAGACTCTGCACAAGCATTTACCACACATATACATTCCCCCCACAGACAGACAGACAGACAGACAGACAGACAGACAGACACACACACACACCACACTTATGTGTCTCCATGCAAAAAATTCTTTCATGATAAAATTTTCATGACAAAGATCCTTTGAATGTATAATCGTAAAATCCCAGTACATCAAAAGACTGTTTATGGTTCCTTGAGATTCAAGTAATTAAATATTTATTGCAAACATAACACATATGCAACACCGTGTTAGATATTCAGAGGGTGAATACAAGAGAGTGTTATTCAGAAAAGGCAGAAATATTAGCCTCCTGAATTGTAGTTGATAGCTTGTATGTTACTGAGATGGGGTATATTGAACATGTGCCTGGTGTGGGATTAACTAAGTCTCCAAGTCCCACCTACTGCCTATGCAAAGCAAAGAGTTACAAGTGCTAGGTTTTTGTTGTTGGAATGTTCTGGACTTCATTTTCAGTCAAACCTCTAATTCAGTCGTTCTCAACCTGTGAGTCAAGACTCCTCTGGGGATGGAGGGTTGAACCACCCTTTCATAAGGGTTGGCTAGAGACCATACAAAAGCACAGATACTTACACTGAGATTCATAACAGAAGCACAATTGTAGCAATGAAAATAGTTTTCTGGCTGAGGGTTACCACAACATAAGGAACTGTATTAAAGGGTTTTAGCATTAGGAAGGTTGAGAACCACTGCTCTGACTAATCCCTCACTTACTGAAGAAAATTTAATCCTGTTTCCACAATGGCAATACCTGGTCAGCTCTCTATTATTATGCCTTAACAGAGCAGGTAAGCTGTTTAACTAATAAAAAAGGACTCCAAGTCTCAAGTAAATCATATCGGAATTAATGTTAATTTAAAAGAAACAGTGAACATAAATATTTCTAAGAAGCCACACATGAGGTCAAGGCCTACATTCAACAACAAGCATTTCTTTCAGGAGGCCAGGCATAGCGATTAAGCAATGCAGCATTAATAAGCCATGGGCCCTACTCTAATGCTCTATTCATAAACAAACTATGCTTCTGCAAACACTGAAAGATGAATGTAAGCAAAAGACAATGGTCAAGAAAATATATTCCTGAAACAATTATAATAAAAACAACCCCAAAGAATATCAACAAAAGAGAAAAATTTAACAAAAAAATAACCCAACATCTTATGACTAAGAACTTATTTATTTTCATCAATTGAGTATCTGACTATGTATTTCCATCTTCCCAGTGAGTCCTATCTACAGCAATTTAATTTATTGCTTGTAAAATATGCACATATAAAATTAAGATCCAGGCCAGGCAGTGGTGCACGTCTTTAAGCCCAGCACTCAGGTAGCAGAGACAGGTGGATCTCTGTGAGTTCGAGGCCAGCCTGGTCAACAGAGCAAGTTCCAGGACAGCCTCCAAAGCTACAGAGAAACCCTATCTTGAAAAACAAGCAAAAACAAAACAAAACAAAAAAACAAAAACAAAAACTAAGATGCAGAACAATTTAACCTTTTCTATCTAGACTTATGATAGATTATGAATAGCCATTCTATTTGTTTGTTATTACTTTCTACAAGGTATGCTGTTTCTATTAATAGAAATGCTTTTATAGAAAATGTGGACCATGGCAAAGTTTACCTAACACACACAAAAGCCTGAGTTCAATACCCAGCACCACATTAGGCTTGGTGTGGTGGTAATGTCTGTAATCCCAGTACGAGGGAGTTAGAGGAAGGAGATTCAGAGTTAGAATCTGGGGACCAATCTGGGCTAGAAGAAACTTTGTCTCAAAAACAAAATAAAGAATGAATCAATCAATCAATAGGGAACAGAAATAGACATCCTTTCTCACTTTATATTAATGGATGTTTAGCATAAGTTTAAGAGCAAATCTGATTTAAATAATAAACCATTATGCTTCAATTTCACTCCCTTTAGCTTGGGCAGTACTAAGAAGACATAGCTTACCTTCAGCCAGTGGTTCTCAGCCTTCCTAACGCTGTGACCCTTTAGTATAGTTCCTCAGATTGTAGAATCTCCCAACCATAATGCTATTTCTGATGCTACTTCAGAACTGTAATTTCGCTAGTTATGAATCATGATGTAAATATTTTTGGAGATAGATGGTTGCCAAAGGGGTAACGACCCACAGTGAGAACCAATGCTTAAGCACGTGCTACTTCCTGTGAGTATACACGTAGTTAGTTCTTGTTCCATTTCACTGTATCTTTTATCTCTTGACCTTCCAATAGAATGTAAACACTATTTGTAAGGCATGTGATATGATATTAAAACATAAATAAAATGGGGCTTGATGGTAGAGACCTGTAACCTCAGCTACTAGGGATGCTGAGAAAGAAGGATGGTTATCAAATTCTGAGCAGTTTATTGAGATGCTATCTCAAAATATAAAGTGAAAAGGAATCTGGGGATGTACCTTATTTGGTAGATAGTTTGTCTAGTATGTATGTACACAAATACATAAAAAGGAAAACAGGCCATGTATGTCGGCACATGCCTGTAATTCCTACTCCTTGGGGAGGTAAGAGGATCACAAATTTGGATCATCCTACACAGCTCAGTGAGATAGTCTCAAAATAAAAATGGCTGAGGATGTAGCTCTGGGGTAGAGCACTTGCCCACCACGCACGAGGTTCTGGGTTCAGTACCCTGTGCCATGGGAAAGCAATGCCATCACAATATGCCTTTGCCTCTTTGATTGATGCTATATTTGTATTAGTTAGAAAGATGAATAGTATACATAAGGAGTTCAAGGCTAGCTAGCCTAGGTAGGGTACAGAATGAGACTCCTTTCTCAACATATAAATACCACAGGAACAGTGGATTCCATGTAATGCTTCAATATTCACTCCAAACATTCATCTCCTCAGAAAAACAGGATATTGCAGCTGGGCGTGGTAGCACACACATTGAGTCCCAGCACTCAGGAGGTAGAGGCAGGTGGATCTCTGTGAGTTCGAGGCCAGTCTGTTCTACAGAGAGTGAGTTCCAGGACAGCCAGGACTGTTGTTACACTCCCCTTCCCCCAAAAAAAAACATGGTATTCAAAATATTCTAACAACACAACATGTGTCATCAAAATTTCAACTGACACAGCAGTCCTGATTTAATGACTGGGGCTCTGGGCAAAAAATGCTTGACTGTATTAAATATTAGATACATTTGAAATATTTTAAAAATTAAAAATGTATATATGTATATATACATAACAATAACAGGGAAGATGCAGCCATGAATTTGAGAGGGAGTGCGGAGGACCTGGAAGGAGTTGGAAAGAAGGGAGACTGGAAATGATATAAACAATACTCATATAGAAATACTAATAAAATTTATGACATTTCACTCTCTCTGGGTTGAGGGTCATGACAACTTGAAGGAATTAATTCTCCCACCATGTGCGTCTTCAGGACTGAATTCAGGTAAGCAACATTAACTGCTGAGCAATGCCTGCCCGAAATAATAGAATTTTCACTCTAAGTTCTCTGGGGGGAGGGTGGACAGTCTTTGAGACAGAGTTTGTCTGTAACTTTGGAGCCTGTCCTGGAACTCACTTTGTAGACCAAGCTGGTCTCGAACTCAGAAATCCGCCTGCCTCTGCCTCCCGAGTGCTGGGATCAAAAGCCTTGTGCCACCACCGCCCAGCTTGCTATAACTTCTAAACCTTTATCCATCTAATTTTTTTAGTCAGTCTCACTATGTTGCTCAGGCTAAGGCTGATTCATGACAATTTCCATAAATATAACATTAAGACCAAATAAAAGTGCCTTTCCTGTGGTTATAGTATAAAATGGACTTACCAACTTTTGCAAAGGCCTCTTTGAGTTCATCAAGTTCATCTTTGGAAATCTGAGTGGTTGCCATCTCATCCATGTAAAGATCTAAAGGAAAGCAAATAGTCAGTCTTCACAAAAGTTTGGGAATATCTAACATGAGCATTCTTGCTAAATTACAAACACACTAAGTATACTTGCAAACTGCTAAAACAATCTGAGTAAGTGACTATGTAGCTATGTCCAAAGTAAAGAAAATAAACAGGTGACAAATCCTCATTTATCAAAAGCTATATAGAAAAAAAAATGCCTGACTTTATCCCTTCAAGGATAATGTTTTACATTTAAAAATTACATTTATCCGTTGTGGGGTGTGTGTGTTTGGGTGAACACACGTCATAGTGAGCATGTAGAAGTTAGAGGATAACTACTGGCATAGATTCTCTCTACCCTGTGGATCCCAGGAGTTGAAGTAAGGAGGTCTCACTTGTTGGCAACTTTGTCCTCCTGAGGATAAAATCTGAAGCTGTATTAACAGAGTATAAGAAAGAACCAAGGTACAATAAGATAGTGATATATAACAGAATCTTGGGTTTTGTTTTTGTTTTTTGTTTTTTGTTTTTTGTTTTTTGGTGCCAAAGTGAAGGTCAAAACCACTTGACTAACAGTTCTTGTAAAATAAGTCACTAAGTTTAAACAGCATACTGATCCCTGTCAATCACTCTTCTTAAAGGGGAGGTAAAACAAAAATAGATGGTTTTGATATAGAATCCATACAAGTTTATGTTAATATACACATGCTATATTAAATTGGTGATATTATGTGGTAGATATAATTTAAAGGATTTTTAAAATTTATAATGTAAATATATTTGTATATACACAGTAATAAAGAGAAGAAACAGAGGTCATGAATTTGAAAGGGAGCGTGGGAATGACATTTTTGAGGGAGGAAAGGACGGGTAAATGTTGTAATTAAATTATGATCTTGAAAATAAAGAAAATGCTTTCAAGAAATGAAAGAAATGTCTCCAATAATAATCTTGACACAAAAGTAGCAATTTTGTTTAAGAATAATAAAAATTTATTAAGCTGTAACCCTTTGGTAATAATTCTAAATTTATTCTATGTTTTGAATTGGGGTCTCATTCTGTAGCCCTGGCTGGACTGGAACTCCCTATGTAGACCTAGCTGATGTCAAACTTTTGGCAATTCTCCCACTTCTACACTGTATCATACTACAATTACAGGCTTATGCTACCATGCCCAGCCAATCACAGCTTTAATGAAAAATTATTACCCATTTCCATGAATTATATGTGTAGAACAATGGCACAAAAAGCTTGGGAGTGAGAAAATCTAAAACATGTGGCTTGACCTCTATTTACAAAGGCCCTTTCTAGTTTGGGAAGTTTGAATCAGTAATAATTTAAACCATGTCAGTAAAAAAAAAAAAGTCCAAGCAACAACAAAAGCCTATACAAATTATTTCATCCATATACTACATATCATTTCTGTTTCAAAAAAATCAGAAAGGAAATTAAGAGGGAAGCATGGACATAAACCACATCCTGATTCCTGATCACAGGAATGTGCATCTTTCTGTCCCACTTCCTCCCTTTTCAAATTCTTCTTCTACAGGCCTTTCAGTCCCCTTTTTATCCTCACACTGTATTTTTAAAATATTTTATTCTTCTTTGTTAAGTGTGTGTGTGTGTGTGTGTGTGTCTGTGTGTCTGTGTGTGTGTGAGCACGCGCACGCACGCACACACACATGCCCATGCACACACACATGCCCATGCACACACACATGCCCATGCACACGCACGTGTGTGTGTAGTACCTGCAGAGGCTCAAAGTGTGTGTCAGTCTTTTGCCCCCCTCCCCCAACATGGGTGCTGGGACTAGAACTATGGTCTTCTGGAAGCGCATTACGTGCTCTTGACTGCTGAGCCATCTCTCCAGCCTTAGCCCCACACCATATTTTCAATATCTGTTACAGGCCCAGTGTTTGCATTGGAGGAATTTACAATCTCAGGAGGCAACCAAATCATTACAATACAACAAAGAATTACTGGCTGCAACGAAAGGTATAGATATCTGTTTTGAAGACACCTGCAGGCTCTGGAAACTTTAAGGCAGGCGGGGGACAGTTCTTTTATTCTTCCTATAAAATTAAGAAATGCTTAAATCTCCTTGAGATTATTTTAATGTTTTTTCTTTATTTTTGACTATTTCATACAGGTTCTCCCAAAGAAACTAAAAGTATCCCAGACTGGTTCACATGCGAAACAGAAAATTTGCTATCATCGATGCCTCTGGAAAGTTCTTGAACACTGGTCCTTCCCAGCAGTTCTTTTACACCCAATTACATAGTGTATTCTCACTGGGCATGCGATGAGAGAGCATCAATCAGTACCCTGGTTCTGCTACTTCCTAACTGTATGTCTGTGAGTAAGTTCATTTCATCTCTGTGAGCCTCAGCTTCTCATTTACAAATAGCACTAATAATACCTGTTTCCTGGGATCCTCATAAAGATTAAAGATGACGTTATATGAAGGCATGTTATAAAGTACAAAGCGTCATACAGGAACTTCAAATCCTCAGTGAAAGAAAACCGGGAATAAATAACTCCATAAGTAATTGTGAGAGACTATAAATATTAGGCATCAGTCTACTAAGAGCCTTTTAAAAGGGATACATGAAGAGCTGTCTCATGTCCCCTTTAATTATTGACTACAGAGTAAAACAAGCCTCCCTCATATATAAAAATTACAAGCCTTCAGTCAAAGTAGTTGAAGAAGAACAGGACTAAAGAAAACCTGTCAACCACATTTTACCTATGACTCAATCTGGCTCTTCCATAAGGCCAACTTCTATACAGAACTTGAAGTGCAGGCAAGTGATACATCTTTAAAAATAAAAGTAATTTTAGTTTAAATATTTCAAAATCATCCACAGCTAGTTTATATCATCACATTCCCCCCTCATTTGCAATTTTCTCTTGAGCAATAACACAAATGAAATGTTAAAAGCATAAGATAAAGATTCACATTTAAATCCAATTTTATAATATATGACTGACAGGGAAAAGGCTGTTTGTAATGTCTTTCTTTTGCCCCTCAAAGTCTGTCTTACCACAAAAGTGAACTTTGTTTACATGACATGAGAGAGAACTAATATTCAAAGAAGGGAACTATATTTCTCTCCATTTCATTTCGGCTAATGAAATACTAGTCAAGGGTAAAAGCTCCCAGGGTCTCTACTCTGCAAAGCCCTTTGTTCTGCCTGGGTTCTGTTTTTTTCCCTCTTGCTCCGTCTGCCCGAATCTTCTGTACAGAGAAATCAGCCTGGAATTTAAAAGGGAGGGGGGAACAGCTCTCTTTCCTAAACATCTGACACACAGGAAAACAGATTTTCAACTCAGGGAATAAAACAAAAGCAAACAGAACCTTGTTTGTTTGTTTCTTTCATAAAAGGATATGGTGTACAACTGGGTACGAATTCAGGGCGTCACCCATAGAAGAATCTTATGCCTATGAAGTCATCCCTAATTACAGCGTTTGACTAACAATACAGCAATTATGAAAACACTCCACTGGCTCATTTCACTATACAGAAACCCTGGACACAAATCCTTGCTGAGAATTTTTTACCTGAAACTATTACTCAAAATTCGAAGGCTGTTTGAGGGAGAAAAAAAAAAAAAAAAAAAAAAAAGGAGAGTCCTGATTTCTTTTCCTCAGGCACTCACCTTTGAAACCTATCTTACTGTATGATGGACTCACTAATGTGTGTCATTCTGTATGAAGGCCGAGTCAGGAGGAAGGGTGGTGCATTCAGGAACTCCTTGGTTGGTAATCAGTTTGGATTAGGAAATGTATGTATTCCATGAAACTGGACTGGGTAAATAAAGGATAAATATGGGATATGGCTAGCCTTATAGCTCAGTGTTAGAGGGCCTGAATATCAAGTGCCCCAAGTTTCATTCCCAGCACAGCAGAAAACAAGCTGATCACCCTCCCAAGCAACCCAGGTGATATTCACCATAGACTTCATTCCCACAGTTTACTCGTAAACTATGTAAAAAATGGAATTGGGACAGAAATGTTGATTAGTTACAAGTAGATTGCACAATACATGACTTAAAACTCCTGAAGGAGAAACCAATAAGGGTGAGGAAAACATGGAAGAATATATTATTTAGTTATAAGGAGGAGGAAAACCTAAGGATGGAGGTAGCCATCATTGTGGGCAAATGATTCAAGAGCAGGTAACAAGAAGAGGGGATATTATTTGTCACCTTCTTCCATTTAAAACAGGCAGTGCTTTGGAACACCCACACCTTACATTCCTACCTGTACCAACAGAAACTGCCACCCTGTCTCCTCCTCAGTTAGGTAAATCAATAGCACCAGTCTGGAGGTTGGATGGGTGTGTGCCATTCTGTGGGCTAAACCTCACCTTCTCTTACTATGATTACTCAAACTCCAGTGCCATATTTCCTAATGACTTTGGAAGATTTCAATCCCGAATGTCTAACTCATTCACTCCTTACTCATCTACACTCATCAAGCCGACATTGAAGACTTAATGTATACTAGGCAGTGTGTCAAGTGCCACAGATATGGACAATTAGGACCCTCAAAGCCTCTTTTCTCTGGCAGAGCTTATTGCCCTGTGGGGGAAACAGATAGCATCACAAAGACTTCACACTAGAGCTATCACAGTCATTTGTTCTGAGCGGTGTGTCATGGTCAGGGACCATTTTCCCCATTGGATCTGATATAATCTTTATCTTAGCGACTGGTGACCTGTTCTACGGTTAGAGTCAGAAAGAGAAGATGCTATCTGAGGCTGCAGAGATGCAGGATGGCTGGGGCTCTTAGCCAAGTGTTACTGACAACACACAATTACAGAAGGCCAGAGTCCAGCTGAAATGTTAACTAATGGGATGAAGGTTGGCAAGAGTAATTCCATTTGACCTCACTGCCATTCCCTCCCCATTTTTTCTCAGTACTATGATTCAAACCCAGAGCCTCAAGCATGCTAGGCAGATGCTCCATCGTGAGTCACAACCCTGGACTCATTATCCCTCCACACAGAC